TAAATGCTATCTTCTTGAAAATGAAACAGAGGAATATTTCAGTTTCTGACCTAAAGTTCTGTTGTTGTTTTTAAAATCTCTTTATTGAGGCATAAGGATACCTGGTATCATTGTAGAATATGCATGACCCTATGTCTCCATGGAAGAAAGATGGGGCTCTCTGCTCCTGTTTAGATTTAGAGCCTCAGAAATCCTAACATAGGGTTGCTGTGAGTCAGACTCAATGCACTGGGTTTGTTAGTTTCTTAGTTACTTTGTTTTGGTTTTATTCAAGAATAGTTACATACAATCGTTGCTGGTGTTAAGTGCCATCGAGTCAGTTCTGACCCATAGTGAACCTGTATCGGGTTTCTGAGGATCAGCTGGTGAGTTTGAATCACTGACCTTGCGATTGAAACCGACCGTGCAGTCCAGCGCATTAGCCCGTGGTGCCACACCACTATTGTTGTTGTTAGGTGCCATCTAGTCGATCCAAGAAGAATAAAGTCCTTGACAACTTCAATTTTTTCTCCATTGATAAAAATGTTGTTTATTGGTCCAGTGGTGAGGATTTTTGTATTCTTTACATTGAGATGTAATCCATACTGAAGGCTGTGGTCTTTGATCTTCATCAGTAAATATTTTAAGTCCTCTTCACTTTCAGCAAGCAAGGTTGTATCATCTGCATATTGCAGGCTATTAATGAGTCTTTCTCCAATCCTGATACCCAGCTTCTCAGTGTACAATTTGTTACATTTTAGTATATGTTTATATCCATATACATATCATAATTAGGATAGTGAACATTTGCATACTTAAAAGTTTAGTCTTGCTTCCTTGTAAACCCTTCCTAACCCCCTTCTTTTTCTTAGGCATCACTAATTTTCTCTTTGACTCTATATGTTAGTTTGCATTATAGATTAGTTCTAGAATTTAATATAAATTAATTCACACTAAATATATTCTATTTATTTTTAATACAATATGCTATCTTAAGATTCATTTTTGTTATTGAATATATTGATAGTTTTATTTTGTTTATTTTGTTTATTTTGTTTATATGGACATGTTATGCTAAGTTCTGTCAAGTTGTATCTGATTCATAGCGACCTTGTATAGGATTTCCAAGGAGTAGCTAATGGATTTGAACTACTGACCTTGCTGTGAGCAGTCCAGTGCTTATCTTACAGTGCTATACCAGGTCTCCAGTGTATGGATATATGACCCTTTATTTATTCATTCACCCATTAATGGACATTTGGGCTATTTCCAGTTTTGGACTGTTGCAAATAAAGTCCTATGGCTATTCATGTTTAAGTTTCTGTATGATTATATACTTGATGCAGCTATTACTAAATTACAGAACTATCACATTACATTCCTTAAGTCCTGAAAGCACAGAGGGGAGGGATAGCTAAAGTAGCTCTCCATAGTTGGTCAAACAAAGTCAAAGTTCCTCCAGTGTTTTGTTAAATGGTTGTTAGATGGTGAGACTTTGACTCACATACTTTAGTCATATTATCAGTAGGGACCAGTCCCTGGAGAAGGACATCATTCTTGGTAAAGTGGAGGATCAGTGAAAAAGAGGAAGATCCCTCAACAAGATGAATTAGCTCAGTGGCATCAGTAATGGGCTCAAACATAGCAACAATTGTGTGGTTGGTGCAGGACTGGACAATGTTTCATTCTGTTGTACATAAGGTAGCTATGAATCAGTACTAGCTTCTCCCGCACCTTTTTTTTTTTTTTTGCCTCTACCTTCCATAGACATGGTAACATGTTGGTAACCCAACGTGTTGGATTGTAAATTGCAAGGTCAGCAGTTCAAGTTATTCACAGCCTCAGAACCCTCTACAGGGTCACTATGAGCTCAACAGCACACAGTCAGTCAGCCAGACCATCCATAGACATGGTTCCCTCATGTCTATCGTAAAGCCTCTCTGAGCCTGAGAGACTGCCCCCAATAGCTGGTCCTTCTGTGTTTTATTCTGCTCCTCAATCACTTTATCTGAATTCCAGCTACATTTGCTCTGAAAGGTTCTTTTCTGGTTAATATTACCCATGCCTGACCTCTGTGCCTTCACATCTCTCGGTACCTACCAATATGTCACCAGCTGATTGTTTTGATCACCGTTACTTAATTTCTTTGCCACTAACCTTCACTTGTCCCCATCATCATACCTACTTGAGCTGCCAGTCAGGGTTTTTGTATCTTATGTCCTAGACTCTAATGTATGCAGTCTTGTAAATTCCAGTATGTGGTCTGATGTACTCACATGGTTTTGAGGACCTGATTTATTTCAGCTGTTGGAGGATAATAGTGTACAAATAGCCTCTGCTTTGTAACAGACTGGGTTCTAAAAGATAGCTCACTAGTCGAGGAGTTCCTACTAGCAAATGACACTAACCATGAAACTGCTGTTGCCATCTACTGGTGGCAGGCAGAGGTGATGTACCCTTGTTCTGTTGCCTGATTTATTCCTACTTAGGCAAATGTCTACCGTAAAATCTAAATAGAAGAACGCCTATATTTTTATGAACTGTCAATTTGTATCCATTTTCTGATTTGTATTCCTGTCCTTTGTATACTTTATCCACACTCATTTCTTTCTAGTTGTCCAGCATACTAGTTTCATTTGCACATCAGGGCCTTTGTACTTGCTATCTACTTCTCCTAGGACACACTTTCACAGACCTTCAAACAGCTAGCTACTGTGTTCTTTCAAACCTCAGGTGAAATGGGGTTTCCTTAGAATGGTCTGCCTTGACCACATTACAACCATCCCATCAGTCAATAACTGTCTTACTCTGTTATATATCTTTGCAGCATTTATTACTTGCTAAATTTTGTTTCCACCACCTGTCACTTTATTGTAATCTGATAACTTTTGTGTTGTTATGATACTAGAAACTATTCTTCCGGTATTTCAGATACCAGGAGGGTCACTCGTGGTGGACAAATTACAGTAGAATTTATAGACCAACAAGAAAGGCCTAGTGATGTACATATAAAAATTAGCCAGTGAACATCCTGTGTATCACAGCAGAATCATGTCTGATCTATTGCTGGTAGATGAGTCTCCTAGGTTGGAGGGCCCTCAAAATGCCCACTGGCCGCACAATGGACTCGGGTATACCAATGATTGTGAAACTGGCATAGAGCTGGGAAATGTTTGATTCTATTACACATGAGATCACCATAAATCAGAGTTGAGTCATGTTCAAGAAAACAGCCTATTTTCTTTAGTATGTTTTTCAGATTATCAATGTTGATACATATACTAATAGAATCTAGAGGTGAGATCATTTTTTGATTGTTTTATATATGTGTGTGTGTGTGTGT